AACGAGGTTCAAAACTATATTCCAGCGATTCTTCAGTTTAAAGCAAGTTTTGGCTCTTGTTTTAATACAAACTTATCAATGCGCAATTTTCGCATACTCTGCTCGACTTTCTAGCTATGCCAGAGTAGTTCCCTAATTCCCTGACTTTTTATCAAGTCGGTCGTTAGTTTGGCACAGTTGCCAGTATAATCCTCCTGTTCTCAGAGTGCTTATCCTGAAGGAGTTGCAGTGGCCTTAGGGTCGTGATTAATATCCTCATTAGACGGAGGTGAGCCCGTACGTATGTCAGATTCGTGTCCACGTACGAGCTAGTGCGATTAGTCGGTCTAACTTGGATAATTTAGTGTTGTTTAAAGGTATTTAGGACGAAACATGTTAGCAAAAGTAAGAGGAATATGACGGTCAAGTAGGTACCTACCTTGTGTTTCATAGCAGGAGGTACTTAGTGTCTCTAAATAATGACTTCAAATATTTTATAGTAACACTGATGTTTCATCATTTGACTTTAAATTTTATGACAATAGTTAAAGCATTTTTATTTATAGATGTTAGGTTTTAGATTAATGAAGTTTCCAGAGCATTTAGTGACTTGATCAATTTTAAGTTCAATAAAAATATTCATGGCTATTTTAACTGGTAACAATGTGCATCAGCATATACTGTGTGAGTGGCGACCACGGGCTGGAAGACATAGCGTGGGCAGGCCTCCTACTAGGTGGACCGACGATCTGGTGAAGGTCGCAGGAAGAGCCTGGACGCGGGCAGCGCAGGACCGTTCATTGTGGAAAACCTTGGAGGAGGCCTTTGTCCAGCAGTGGACGACATTTTGGTAAAACGAACGATCGAACGAATGTGCATCATATTGGGCAACTACTATGTTAGCAGTAGCCTAAAAGACTTAATTTAGCATAAATTACCAAATCTATTTGATGATACTACTCGTAAAGTACGAATATGCACACTGCTGTTTAAGGTACTCACATACAGACACAAGTTCCCTGAAAGCCGAAAGGGCTTGGGTCGGCCAATTATGAAAATAGCGCACCTGCGCGTCAAACGCGAGCCCGCGGTTGTCGGCCGTCCCGCGCACACCATTAATCTTACTCGCTCCTTATACATTCCTGGTACCTCGGCGCTGCTGTGAAATTGTTCTAGAAATAGCGCGAGTGGTTTAAAAATCGAACGCTTTTTGGGATTAATTCTGCTAATAAGAGCTATAAGCTATAGGACCTTCTCGCTCGTTATGCATTCCTGGTACCTCGGCGCAGCTGTGAAATTATTTTAGAAATAGCGCGAGTGGTTTAAAAATAACGCTATTTTGGGATTAATTCTGTGCTAATAACAGCTATAACTTATAGGATCTCCTCGCTCCTTACAAATTCCTGGTGCCTCAGCTGTGCTGTGCAATTTTTCTAGAAATAGCGCTAGTGGTTTAAAAATTTAACGCTTTTTGGGATAAATCCTATTTAATTTTGAACTTATAGTAAATGTATTTTTCTTCATCTTCAATAACAAGCAAGAGCCTTTGCTTGTGGCGTCTCCGATATTTTGTTTTACTTACAGCTTTTATCCTGAGAAAAGTGTATCATTTTAAATGTGCAAGAATTTCCCAAATCAGTCAAGCATTAGTGAATGAGTTTTCAGGAAGTACCTAATGAGAAGGGTGAAACATGTTTGTACCAAGAATAGTAATGCAATTTGAAACTTTGTAATTAACGGATAATTTAATTAAATAAAGAATCAAGTTTATTGAAACCTAGGTAGGTAGGTACCTTCTTTTTTTTCGTCAGGAAATGCATGAATTTGCATGCCCACTGGTCGTGGGGAACTACTGGGTTATGTGAGGCTCGTCCTGCCAGATGGGCAGGGCCTACTCACTAAAACCTGCTGGTGTCCTCCCAAAGTCCTTAGTACCTGATCCATACCATCATTGGGTTGATGTCCTTCTTATCCAAGTTTTCGAAATAAACCTATCTATTAGAAAAAAAGGTCAGTCGTATAAATAAGTACTCTCTATAATAATGTACTAGGCAGACACATGAAAAATGAAAAATAATTATTAATGTGCGCTAATGTACAATTTTTCAGCTAATCATTAAAACAGGTAACAGCCTACAATGACATCTTACGGCGAATAGTTCTCTGTTTCCTCTCCCTGCTTTTTGTGGACCCAACGCCATCTAGCGCTGAGTAGATTGTAAAAAGTTTAGCAGCGAAGCCTCCTGCTATGAAGTTCTTTGCTTTTCCGAAACTTGTATTGATTTTCTTACCGTCTGGTAGAATATGTGATGATGCTACGTATGTAGTTGAAACTATGGAACTCGAAAAAATAAAACTATGCATACGGGTACCTTCTAGTAACTAGCAAGTTTGAGCAGTCAAGCTTAGTGACTGAAAAATTAATATCCTTGCAAAATTGAAAAGTAACACAGAAGTTTCAACTAGTTTAGACTTATTTGGTTATATTGGATTCAAAACTGGTCAGGATTGTAGTAGATTGATGCATTAAAATGTCTTTTTCTTAGTTGTACTTACCTCGGTTTATACATACCTCTACAGTGCCGTGTAGGCGGGTGACATGACGTAGTATGTGGGAGAAACTACTTGTTTTATTATTCTGTTAATGAATCTTTATTAGCATTAGGTAATTGATTATCTGACTTCATTGTTATTGTGACTATCATTGTAACTTCAAATTCTCAAACCATCGCATTTGTCTATTATTGTAGAGTAACATTTTGGAACTATAAAAAGTAACACTAATATTTATTTTAGTTAGTCACATAACAAAGGCTGATCTATGGCTTATTCATTTAAAAAAGTAAAGTCAAAGTCAAAGTCAAAATTTCTTTATTTGTTTAGACTAATAAATAGTTCTTACAAATAAAGTTATAATACACAAGACTCACTTTTGTATGACAATATAATTATTATCTGGTAAGATATTTAGGAATGGAGAAAGTAAACGAAGAAATAATTTAAGATTTTCATGTATTTTTACTTTATTTTTTATACAAATTGAAGAACAATACACACACAAAGAAAAATAATTTTATTGAACAATCAAACCATTATTATAAACATGAAAATCAAATAACTTCAAGACTAATATCATGTCAACTTGCTACTATTGTTTTTTACAAAGCGAGTAAGTACACACATTTTAAATATTTAAGAACATTATTTCAAATACATATTAGGTACTCAACTATTTTACATTCATTTGGAAGAAATTTGGAAAAATTTTGTATGAAAAATTAAACAGCGCCCCCTAGGGCGGCTATAATATAGGGGGCGCTGTTTAATTTTTCATACAAAATTTTTCGATGACACTTTGAATACGCAACGAAACGAACTCGAAAGTTTTTCCTACTAGAGGTACTGGAGATAAAACGCAAATTACTGTAGACGTGCAGTTTACATTTTAAGCTGGGTTGCACCATCTTTATTTTCGGTTTAAAGAATCCTTATTCATAAGAACAGGTAGTTCACTTACATGAGATAATAACATTTACAACATTTTTTGACTTTAACAAACGTCAAAAATCTGTCTAACTCCATACAAAAAATGCCAGTTATCGTTATTGTTAAAGTTACGTGGTTCAAATCACCCTTAGAGTGATGTGATTAGTTTAAAAAACCAAGCAAAATACAAATATATTTGAAAAAATCCCAAATAAACACTAAACAGCTTGCAAAAATGACAAGTCAACAACGTTTAGACTACGAATATATCCCCATTTTAGTTCCAAAACACACAGCAATGTTTAACAGCCAAATATTTCAAGGTAAAATAGTGATGAAAATATTATATTAACTATGTGTAATAAAAACTGTTTAAATAAATTTAAAATATCAAATGCAATAATGAGAGAACATTATCAAAAGTAGCGTTTTTGTTTTAGAAGTAACGCATATTTTCAGTAAACGGGAAAACTTATATTCCGAAATCTACGTCTCATTTGCCTCTTGAAAACGAATCTATCACAGAGACAAATTCTAAATTCCAGAAGCTTCTTTTGTTCTTCTTTGTTCCAGTATCCTGTTCTTCATCTTCTTCATCTCGTGGTCTTGAACCGTTGCCGTGCATGCACCACACAAACCTCTCTAGAACCGAATTTGTCGCCTCACTTCAAACAAATTCGGATCTACAGGGTAGATGTAGGGCACTAATATTGATGCCGATGGGCACCAAATTGAGTTCTAAGCAGCTAGCTAAGGGCTTAAGGAAAATAAATCTTTTTATATAACTCAAAGGTGACTGACTGAGTGATCTATCAACGCACAGCCCAAACCACTTGACGGATCGGGCTGAAATTTGGCATGTAGGTAGATGTTACGACGTAGATCCGCTAAGAAAGGATTTTACGAAACTCCACCCCTAAAGGGGTAAAACGGGATCCACACGTACGAAGTTGCGGGCGGCCGCTAGAATGTAGGTACATAAATCTTTTACAAAACTAGCCGACCTGGCGAACTTCGTACAACCTATGTTCATTGGAAACAATTTAGGATTCTAATGGTGAAAGAATTTTTCAAATCGGTACTGTAGTTTCGGAGCCTTTTCCATACAAAGAAATAATCAGTTTTTTCCTCTACATAATAGTTATTAGTGTAGATTACAGTTCTCAAAGGAAAGCAATGGATGTCGGCAAAACAAAACCAGATATTTCTGATGTTCAGTATCGGACTGGTGGCGGTTTATCCATACCATATGGTGTGGTTGAATTAACTATGAACTTTATTAATACAGGAGATGTTAATGATGAAGTATTAAGTAAGAGAAGTTTTTAAATTAATGATACCTAAATTACATATAAGTATTTGCAAATAGGAACTTAGTAGAACATGTTGCGACATTTTTCAAATGTAGGTATAATAATATTAACGATATTTAAAAACAACTAATTTTTTCAATTGACGTACTTACTTAATAGACGTCATAACAACGTCATACAAGGTTACTGTGCTATAGGATGTGTGAGTTAGGTACCTACCTACTTATGTGTATGTAATACATTTTATGTTTTCTTTTAAGACTTGGGCCATGTGCTATGATTTAGAATTTTAGATGAATGGTTCACGGAATTTTATATCAAGGTAAGATGATTTATGTCATCGATAGACAAACTTTTAGATCTTGTTGCTAGTCGACAGCACGAATGTAAGGTATGCTTTTAAGGTTTTGGATGAAGAGCTATTGATTGAACGTGTATGAAATTTAAAAATGAAACTTCTCTGTCTTCCATGCTTCTTTTACAGCTCGGCAAGGTCCAGTAGTCTCTACCTGAAATGAAACATACAGCAAATTAAATAAAAAATAAGAATAAATAATCTCTATTAGATAAATTAAAATACTCAGATTATTTGTCTAATCATGAACAAAATCTCAGACAGAGTAAGGACACTGTAACCCTAGTGGCACAACATGACATTGTTTCAGCTCGAACAATACTGACTGGTATTACCATGATAAATATCTAATACCTAATTTATAGCGGAATGGAAAGTTTAAAAATAACGCCAATCTCTACCAAAAATAAGAAACAAATTATACGTATTCATGGCTCTATTCAAAACCTCTAATAGATCAAACACTTGTTACCTAATTGTCAAAACACCGATCGGTCAAAATGAAACGGTAATGTGTCACGCGCGGAATTTAATCGATTGTTGTATAATCGAATCGCCACCCACCGATTGTTCCTTATTAACCGTGAGGCAGACGGTAGCTGGCTGTCGTAATCCATCATTGTAATTGTGTTGGTGTGGACTTGAGTAAACCCCGGAGACAAGTGAGGACGACGTTGTTTGAACAAGTTTAGGTACGGTACACATGAGATCAGATTGTGACGGTGGCAACGACAAAGATTATGATATTTTAATAAATTGTTGGATAATTTTGATCAATGATCATATCATGAAAAATATAGTAGGTACAGTCAATCGTTACGAGATTTTTACAAATAAAGAGATTTATAATTTAAAGCATTAATAGTTAAGAGTGGTGCAGTGAAAATGAGAGAGACAGAAGTTGAAATCCACAACAACTAAGTTCAAAATAAAATTTCCTCTTTACTTTGAATTCATTGTGTGAATGTAAATTTCACAAGCACAAGACATGCAAAAATCCTTGCCTCATCGTTCTTGTGAATCAGACCTTACACAATGTCCACATGAGTAATGGATAAATCGTGATCAAGTTGAAAGTGATATCGGGAAAGTGGTGCTAAAAATTCCATTGCGTATAACAACGGAAGGTAGTTCACGTTTTAGATAGCGTATGCTAATTTTTCGTGCACACCAACAATTGTTACGAGTGCATTTCTCAACCGTTGCGTCATTTTTAACAGGATTCTTGATATAGGAAACAAAAAAGATAACCATTATTGGATACGAGTAGTATATCAGAAAATTTTGATAACTTTAATTTTGAAAATTGGGTGTGGCTATTTAAAAACGATTAACTGACTATTGAATCAAATCGAGGATAGTGACACAAAGTCAATGATGCTTATAATACTCTAAAGGATTCTATATTTAGAATATTAAAGACTAAAATAGAACTGATAATGAAATAAAAAGTCCTTACACAACTAAAATTCACTTGCCTCCAGCGTCCTGGCTCCATCGATTAAAACAAATGAGCGTGCGACCCACGTCAAATAATCGATTCTAATTTTAAACACTGAGCATGGCGTCGCGTCACTACGTCTGTGCTGTGCGAATTCGTCAGTTTGGCAACCTTGGTGGAGCGAGGCCGCCATACTGGCAATTGGGTCAGAGGGCGCGGGGACGCATGCGCGCTCCGGACGCCAGCAATGAGCGCCGCCCCCGGGACGGAATGAATTGTCTAGACCCTTCGACCAGGCTAACTAGACCTCCCCTACCCAGCTAGCTATGGACCAACAAGAACGAAACTCTGAGACTCCGAAGAAATTGACAGCTCTGTTTAGGCTGGCGATCGAAGCAGCTGTTGGACGAATCTGTTGAGCGCTCGGCCCACTAGTTGCTAAGCGAATCTTAGATTTTAACTTACAAAATTCAATAGTCATTAATGGATTCATTTATTTTATTAGGGAATGAATGAGTACTTACGAGTATTTTATGAACCGAATAAATCTACACATATTTTGACGTGTATTCTGTAAATTTATGCTATTTTTCTACGAAAGGAATAAAATAATTACAATGCCCTCACCATAATTAAATTATCAGATGAGAGAAAGTACGCGTAAGAGGACATTTTGTACTTAAAAAAGGCACGTTATAAACCCATTATAGTTTTAAAGTATAATAAGCGAGTCTCGTCTCTCGTTTAAATATAATATTTTAAACTTAGCGTTGCACTTTTTCAGACACATAATAGCCTTCCACAGAGGAAGCCTGCACTTGTGACCTAGTTACGTCAAATAAATCTAACAACACAGACTAGGTACTACTATCACGTTATTTATGAACAGTAATATTTAAATAATGTAAAATATTTTGTAATTTTGCGCAATATTCAAGACTTGTTGTTGAGTCGAAGACATCTGAAGCTGACCCCGTTGAACCCGCGCCTCATTGTCACGAAAAAAGGAGTAGTACTAAGAACTGAAATACATATTTGTACTTTCTTATAATTAAAAATAAAATCGATTAAAAGCTCACCGTTCGAAATCCTGTGACGCACCGATTGTCCAAAACTGAAATGAAACCAAAATAAAAAATGAAACTTCCAAACAATTCGGCGAAAATTTTAAATAAAATTAATACAATGGAGCGATGTAGCCACCACGAGAGCCGATCTCGGTATGATGTGTTCTCATAGAGCGTATCGCTCGAAGCTTGGTGATGAAAACTATTAGCAAGCCACTAATTGTACGAAGGCCTACATTCATAGCGGTAATTGCTCCATTTACACATTTTGTTAGTCCGTTCAGCATAATTGTCGGCTGTTTACGATACGAATGTGCGAGCCACGAACAGAGCATACATTAGGAACTCATACATGAGGAATGCGGGAAACTTTGATGGAGCTGATGAGTCTAAGGTGCCAATGAACAAATTATACGCTGTGGCTGATAATTGGAACTGAAGAAGCGCCAGTTCTTTTGTTTTAGTACTTGCTAATGAAACTATGAAAGACGAGAAATGTTATGCTTGTGATTTCATAAGTCCACTTCCTTTGATTTTTGCTAAAATGTCCTGTAGAAATTATTACGTACTACTTTAAAACCTATAACGCCATTGTCAGTTTCTAAACGTAAGCATTGTTTCTTAGACAATTTTTAAATTTGATTTATAAAATACTAGTAAAATATACAAACATATTATTAGCTTAGTACGAGGAGCTAACGGGACTAAGTATTAGTAATTTGTTATTGCACAGTAGTATTAGTTAATCTTTTTAAAAACTAAAAAAAATGGCTGTGAGCTTCTGTTACCGACGACTACCACATAAAGTCATGAGAGGTATAATTTTTACAAATTTTTACTATTACGGTGTAAAAGAAAATAATAAATTTCCATAACCCGCAGTGGCCGTACTACACGCGAAGATAGGATCTATGACAGTATCGTGTATTCAATTTTATGTGGGTGACTACTTGTGAACGTCATTTGCATTTGCCTTTGAATATGCTTGAGTCTAGACAATGATATTAGTTAGACGAACAATGTTTGCTTGCACAGCTGTTGGTTTTAACAAATGATATTAAGAAGGTATGAATTACTTTGGTTGAAAATTCTTAGAGAAATTGTCACCAAAGATCAGAATTATTATACAGATATAGAATTTATTAACTACCTAAAAATCTAAATAAAAACTTGACTGCAGAAGATTTCTACTACCTGTTCTACGTGCATTTTACAACGTTTGTAGAGAATACCTTTTGTCATAGTTTTATTGCTCTGGGAATTCAATAACCAAAAGAAAAACAATTAAAAGTTAAATATGCCTTTCCAACAAAAACTCATTGTCTGTAAAGACAGACTTTCATTAGAATTGCAAAGTTGTCTGTAGATTTTTTTGACGTCAGACAGGCATACTTGAACTTTTCTCCTCAGAGAATTTCTTCATTATAATTCCTTAATATCAGGCCACTATGTACTGTTATGTTAATGATATATCGCGAACAGAATATTTTATTATACCTACTTTGCCAACCAGAAGCTAATAACATAGGCGGAAAATTGCCTCTAAAAACGAGCGATAAAATTTTCTTTGGAAAGGCGCCAAGAGAATCTCAATAACTCGCAAAGGGCAAGATTTACATGTTTTATTAAAGAGATCTGGCGCTTTTACTCATAAAATATTAATAAATAATGTAATTATACGTCTCTCGTATTAGAAAGCGCTCACCATTTCGCAGCTGCCTTTGATCTTTCCAGGCCCTCTCGCTCTATGGAGCACCATCTGAAACGATTTTTATGGAATCATAAGTCATGACTCAGAATAAACTGTAGAAGCACTGAATTTTGTACAAAAAGCTTCCACCGATGGAAACCGACCTTGTTCGTCCTGCTTGATACGCGCCAAACTGGCGTTGACTTGATAGTCCCGCCAAACATGGCTGCCATTCGTGTGGGAAGCGGAAATACACGAATTACTACGAGTCAGAAAGGATAGAACAATCTGTCCGCGTGTGCAAAAAAGGGACGGGCGACAGGTCCTGGCTGTTCAAACTTTTAGACAGAGATAACGTTATGCGATTTGACGGGCGAGTGAAAGGATAAGAATCACGTCTAAACGGTTTTTAGGGTGGAGCTGTCTGGAGATTCGGGTCGAGGCGCGCAGATGGCAACAAAAAGGGACCAGTCCCGACTAAAATTTGGGCATAAATTGAACGACATTTTTGCCACATTGCTCTGCGACCGTCCTTCTTGGGAGTGGACGCCGAAACATTTCATCCTTCAGAGCATAACTGAATTTTTGCAGACACAAAATTGAATTTCGCTTTCACCATTCTGGGACTATCTGTATCTGTAGCCCCTAAATGTATTTAAATTTTTGTAATAAATTCAGGATAGGTTTTACATTTTGCGCTATCAGTAGAACGCCATATGGCACATTTTTTATGCATCGAAACACGTTTGGTATGTTTAACGTAACGTATTCAAGTCACGGGGTCAGCGACACAGGATTTATTGTCCGCTTCCTGCCTTTTTATTAAACTTCATATATAATTTTCCTAAACATGAGTCGTTCGCCAAATTCATCTTCCGCTTCTTATTATGTAGTTGTGTTTGTTCTGGCAAGCGCTTTGCCCTTTTACAATCTGTTGCTTGGATAAGGGGAGAAAGTCTTAAAGACGTTAAGATGCAAGATTTGAGGTTCGTTTTTATCATGAAATTGATTTTGCCCATGCGCAGCTCTTTTATAACTCCCATATCATTGATTTCGCCAAATCTTTAATGTTATGCAATGTTATAGCAGAAAAGGTGTGAGAAATAAGGCGTGGCAATAAAGACGTGATTAAATTTTAAAAAGTCGTTATAATGTTTAGTAGGTTATTAAATCTTTTTTTAAGTTTTAGTCAAGATTACTGATAATATTATAGTAACCTCCTTTCCACCCAACTGAGCATTATCTATCAGATAACAGATTAAGGCAACGGAAGCTGCCGCACCAAATGTTTGCGTTCACATTATAATATCGTATCAGGAAGATTATTCTTGTTTGTCACCTGTAGAGGCTGATAAAGCTATTTGAGGAAGATAACCGGATTATCTATAGAATTTATTGTCCTTGTTAGCTGAGGCAACAGTGAACACTGTGTAGCCAAATTTGAAATTTCCCAGATTTTTGTCAAGTAACTTAAAACCTTTTTACTGCAAGAATAAAGAAAAAGACGTTGCTCAAGAGAAGCATAATGATACTTAACATAAGCCAAGGGCACATATTCATGTAACCTATGTGTATTCATTAGTGCCCTTGGTTTCGAATGCAGTATAATTTTTAAATATGATTTAGAAGAACTGAATATTTATAACTACCTACTTTTACTTTCTGCAATAAACAAAAGTAAATCTACAAATTCAGCGTGGAGTTAAAGCTAGAAGTAGAGACTACGGCACATCAAGTAAAGCACTAGCATCTTATGTAGTGGTAATAAAGACAATTTTGCAACAAAAAGGCAGTCTGATGTGCCATCGCTGAACAATAATTCAGAGAGACACGCGATGCTTGAGAACGTATTATTTATTTACAGGCCAGTTTATGAACTTTGGAAGTTTTAATGACAATGAAAATAACTTGGCAAGTAATAAAAATACATTAATTCTGATACAAGTTTGTCACGCGACTCTCCCAAGGGGGAGTTTTGGGGCCGCTGCTTTTCCCTGAAATATTACTTTTAAAATCCTCACTTTTTCACCATTTGCTGTACGAATTTCGTTTATACGAAACGCAAAATTTACTCCTTGATGTTTATTTTGTTATTTATTTGACTGAATGTGAGGTAAAGCCTGTGCAGGATTACGTCAATGAATATTTAGTACATGTGCTTTCGCTTTATCGGTAGGTACCATTATTACGACCATAAATTTGAGTTATAGCCTCCCATTGAATGTGGCAGGTTAATAATACCGTTAACGGCACAATAATTAATTAATTTCTAACTTCTCATTTGTGTCTTGTGATTGGAGTAATTGTTCTTTAAAAGACAATTTATTGCAGAAAGTCCTACTTACTCTTTTATTGGTTTGTTTATTTTTATGCATTGGTGTGTTTCTATGCATTAGAACTTATTGTTATAACTCTGAATCTTTGAGACTTTGACTGAATCTCAAACACCGTTTCTAGTAAAGTATGAGACGACGTATTTAATAGAATATAAAGCTAGCAAAACTAGCTTATTTGCGTAAGCTCACTTTATAGTCTGATCCAATAAAATCCTGCCCTATGCACAATTTTATAGATGCATGATCTCAAAGATAAGGAAGATTACGATTCATCTAGGCACATAAAGATTACCACGATAATAATTCCAGTACTAAGGACCCAATCGTAAATGAAAATTACGGCTTTTATTTTGATAAGGTGCGCCATTAACTCCCGCAAGTGGCAAGTCGTTGAAACGGTCCTTAGATACGAGTAATGCGTATTTGTCAAACGCCTTTAATGGAGAAGGGGAGACAGAAAGGTCAGGCCTTTTTGATAAAACGCATTAGCATGCATAAAAGGAGAAATCAGAATATTATCAAAGGCTGGGTTCCGCACATGCGTAGTGCGGGGCTTGTTATCGACGCGGCGGCTCGCGCAGACTCCGTCATGGCCCAATAACATAAATAATACAATAAAAATAATACAATCCTCGATTTGAATGTGTTCTAGGATTGGTTGGGTTGATGGAGAGCTGGCCCTCGATACAGGCTGCGGTCTTTTACGAGGACGGAGTAATTGATCGAAGGTTGACTCGGTAGCTTGTCAATATTGGCGGAGAGATTTCGGTGGATTACACGCGTCGGGTTAGTTTGCTTTGCTACTTACGGAGGACCCGAATAAGATTCGTTATGTCGTTTTAGTTATTTTCATTTCGAAAGGTCATTGAAAATAGCCTATTAATAAAAATATTAGGTACTTTAATTCCTCATTAGCATAAAAAACTAGTAAGCTTGAATGGTTTCAAACTACCTAAGTATCAATTCATCATCATCATCATTTTAGTCATAGGACGTCCACTGCTGAACATAGGCAACATCCCCCAATGATTTCCACAAGATAAGTATCTAATATCAAAAGGCTATTTAAAGAATTTTTATATATTTTTAAATGTAAGAAAAAGTACTACAAATAAATAGAAAACGTACAATATCAAAAATCTTAACTTCAACGATAACAGATTTCCCCGGCTGGTTTCATTTGTCATAACACGCCTGTCTACACCCGTCCTAAATGTCATCATTTGTCATTTGTCGAGCCCCGCGAATCTGGCATTTCCAAAAGTGTACCTTTTACGATTAATTTTGTACAAAAATAGCGGTAAACATAATAATATACCACCGTGTTTCTGTATGCCGTAAGTTCTGAAAGGTAGAGATTGAAAAAAAAGACGTTATTTCTTCTGAAGCGACTAGTAGTGGTGTTCTATATTCAGCAGTACATATTACTTAGGTTTTGAGTTCAGAATCGAACGATAATTTTAATTAAATTAAAAAGTATGCACAAGTAGTAGGTATGTTATCAGCTCCGTCCGATCAAGTTTAAGTGGAATTAATCAGTATTCATATTTTTCGTAATTAATTACCGAGTCTATAATGATTCAATTTGGGTAATCACTAATTATAACTTATTAAATATTAACATTATGGGAAAAACAACCTTTCAGTATATATACCTACAAGGCATAACCTGCAGCGTCCAGGATATAAATTTACTCGCTCTACAAATTCAAATTCAAATTCAAATTATTTATTTGCAATAAATAGGGTTTACAAAAAGGTGTTTCAAAGAGATAAATGTTGCTTTCACCTATTTAACTATGATGACACAGCATGCAAATTTTCGTCTTAAAACGACTTTTTATAAATTACAATAAGTTTTCAATTAGATAGTACAATATTATTAAATTAACGATTACCACTCATATATAATTGTATTCCGTATTAGGTAATTATTTATCATGTCAATTTAAAATTTATTATCCTTAACAGTATTTTCATAGAACAAATAATATAATGTCAAATTATGAAATAGTCAAATCACAAAAAGTCAACATACATTATCATTTTGGAATTCCGTAATACTATAATAGCATTTTTTTATCAGCCAATCTCGTAGATTCTTGGTCATCAGTTTTAAACATCCTTGTTTGAATTGCTTTGGGATCCTATTAAACAGTTTTACACACATGCAGTAACAACCTTTCTGGCAAAAAGTCGTTCGTAATTGACGATCCAGAACAAGCCTGTCGCTATTTCTTGTGTGTCGAGGATAGACCTCGGCGGCCGTTTTAAATAGTTCTGGATGTTGCTTGACAAATTTGAATACTTCCAAGATATACATACCCGGGACGGAAAGTATGTTCAGCTTAAGGAACAAAGGTTTGCATGATTCAAATGGACCCTTACCACAAATTGCTCGTATGCACTTTTTCTGTGCGATAAATACCCGATTTATATGGATACTATTGCCCCATAGAAGAAGACCATAATTGATATTGGAGGCGACATATCCATAATAGGCAGCCAAGGTTACTTTGAGAGACGTCACCTTTCTTAGTCGCCTTAAAACGAAGACAAATCTATTGATTTTGCTGCACACTTTATCAATATGGCCGACAAAGTTTAGATTCTCGTCCAATACTATACNCGCTTAATACTTGGGCGCCTCAAAATCGATAACTTGATAAAGTCAATTTTGTTTCTCAATAACTTATTACAAAATTAAATATTGGTTATTGACGACGATACGACGTTGAGCTCAATTAATTATATCAAAAAGTACATAATAGTCGTATCATGATAATCAATACTTTTACAAACTCTATCCAGGCACGACGATACTACATAATTAAATGTTCTTCGTCGGTCATAAAATGCAAAATAATTACTTATTTACAAAACTCACCATGGCAACATCGATCTGGTGTCTCCCTCGGTGAACTGGATGAGGGTTCTGCAATACAAAGTAAAATAAAACGTTATCATAAAATAAGACCCTGTTACGTAAATAAATACTTGTACAAATAACTTAAAGTACGTTAGAAAAGTATGTAGGTAGTTACATTTTTCTCTGACATCGCAGAATTGGTACGGTTTTTTTTCAGATCAATTTAGCAATAACCTAACGTCAAATTATTTAAAACAAATAATACCCGTTCTAAATTCCATAAAAATACTGGCACATTTTGAAAATATTCTCGCTATCAATGAGAAAAAAAAGAACCATTTGAAAATGGAACTCACCGGAGGCGCGAAGCGTGGGGCAGCGACAGTGCGCGTAGGGAAGTGCGACCGGCGACAGACAGGCCTACGTCACACCCTCGCCCCCCGCCCTCTTCCCACTTCCCCAACTCCCCAGATTTGCTTACCCCATACCCGGGGCTAGGGTTGCCAGGTCCAATAACACAAAAGCCGGACTATGTGCTTCATTTGGCCGGACATTTTACACTAAAAGCCGGACATGCAATTAGTGAGCTCACGAGTGAGTACTATCATCATCGGTTGCCTAACGTCCTGATGCGTGCGTGCCTTATTCTGTGGCTCAACTATTGCCTGGCGCGGCAGCCAAATAAAAAGCCTAACAAAAGCCGGACAGGCCGGACATCGGTTATTTTGGCCGGACACGCAATCAAAAAGCCTAACTATGTCCGGCTTTATCCGGATGCCTGGCAACCCTACCCGGGGCTAACAAGCTCCGCGAGACCTAATAATAACGGGGGGATGCTTTTCCGAAATCCGATAATAACTACAAAAGGTACTACTGTATGAAGTTAGGCTGGTGAGATTGTGTGAAAACTTTTTGAAAACACGTTATTTTGAATGGAAATACTCGAGATAAAAAGGTTTCTTGTAATTGAGTTTGTTTGGAAGTTGAGGTACAGTGAAAAATAACACTTATTACCACTACACACGGTTTTGTAACATTTCGAATTCAACACTTTAACATGCTGAAGTTTTAAAATTATTTACTCAATTTTGTAGCTTTTTAATTAAGGACGTTTAGATTTTAGCAAATATTTTGAATTTTTCTAAAGGGGTTAGCAATTAGCATAGTTGAAAATTCCATTTTTTTTATTTTTCGTGTAAAACCAACATAAAACTAGTGAAATAATGTCCATATTTAAGCTTTTCATTCCTACGCATGTTTAAAAAATAATTAAAATATCGCGAAATAAAAGTCACAACTTTGATTGCCTATTCTTTCTAGACTATCAAATAAAAAACCTGTTTAGCATCATAAAAATATTACAAAGTATTGACAGTTGAACCGTTAGCTAGAGTCGCGGATGACGTAACCAAACTCGTTTGTAGGAGTTGGTAGCGCGGCGTTCACACTGACCACCAAAAGGATCTAGTACTGGAAACTACGCAACGTGTAAAATTGGTACTCGTATGGTACGAGTACTTAGTACTTATAGGTGACAAATAATATATTGAGGAAAATAATTAATGTTCCGGAATTAAAATTATCATTGGTAACACTCGCTATTTATAAAGTAAAAAATCGCAAATCAACTGCAAAAGATCACGTAAAGCAACTAATATAATGTTTGGTTAATTCACGAGTTAAATTCTGGTTACAAATTAACGTATTATACTTTATTATTATTTATTTATTTCGTTACAATGTATCAAGTCGTCGTGACTCGTTGTCTTTAACGTGATTGAATAGTTAAAATAAAAGTACCAGTGTGAACAACGCCTTACAGATCCGACAAGACACATCCGGTAGCGATGTGCTGATACCCTATGCGTAGTCGTTGCCGTCGATGCGAGTGTTATAATCGATTTATAGTCGATTTTAGGATCGATAATTTTTTTCATAGAATTAACATTGGCTCTACAATTCTTTACAGTAAGTAACACTGAACTGAAGTAAGGAGCTTTTGAAAAATTTACGTATGTTTTCTCTACAAGTTACTACTGTGTGGCATAGAGCTTTTGTCTTTGGATTCGATTCGTGATGTACCTAGTTAAATTTAAAATGGTTTAATTGATAAAGAGTCAATGTCATAATTATAGAGTTTCGACAGTAGCGAGCTAGTGAAACACTAATTTATTTACTTATGTTACGCAATGCAACATCTTTTTCATAAACTTAGTTCTATGAACGTATCACACGCAAAGATGACGTATTTTTGATTGTACTTATAGAAATTCATGTTTTACATTCAGGGCCTAATTAATTAATGAAGTCGATCCTTAGACAATCGATTAAGCCACTACAGATTCTATAATCGTCTCTACCTACCTCACTAATACCCTGTGTCCGACTAACAAGATGCCATATGTTGTCTCGTGTTCACGGTCTCTGACTCAACACGTACTATTCCATAATCAACAACGTCCTGCGAANCCCGCGAAATTGAGCTCTATTGTGTATGGAGTAAGGCCAAACTTAGACAATTATTCCGAACTACGCCCAGTAACTAAATGTGTTTTAATCATTGAGATTGGGCTATCTAGGACTTATTAATACATGTTAAGGCGTGGTCGGGTCTTCAATTGATCTATTTTGGAGCAACCAATATGTTTTCGTCGTTACATTACCTATTATTAGAAGTAAAACTTGGGTTGGATACCAATCCCTTATTTCACAGTGCTTTCTTTTATTAAAAAAAAAATAAAAAAAAGGTTTTATACGTCTGACTTTGAATTTAAAAGGTTAACGAAACCTTATCGAACATGAATAGAATAAAATTATAACTCAAATCCTAAAGTTCATTACACTCGAACGACCGAACGAACGAAATCGAATTTATTTTAAAGTTCGAACATCTCGTTGTAGATCAATTTCGAGTACAGTCGCGTGCTAAAGAACTCTATAACACCCAAAGTTATTGGATTGTGTTCGTGTTGAATTTTCCTTCGATGTTTGTGATAGAATTTGAAACGTGTGAATTTGGTTTTACTTATTATTTTTGCACTCGACATTTTTCGACTAGTAAATTGCATTGGGTGCTTGTTCCATTGCAAGCAGACTATTTGAATGCAATACCTATTTTTTGTCTAGACTATTCATCCAATTTATTATAGAGTTCTTGCTACTCAAGTATTTGACTACCAACTAACATTCAAAATTAGATTGTGTAATTTTTTGGGAGTCAACATTCTCTATCGCGACCTAAGCTACATGGAAGATTAAAATATACATAATTAAACGTATTATTAGGTATGTACTCGTAAATCTGATTCGGAGAGTGATTTCTATATCAACAAAAGTACCTAGTCCAAAAAACTTTATGTACCAAAAATAAACGAACACAAAATCGATACAAAGCTCTCCACTGTAGTGCATGCCCCACGTCAATCAGCCGACGGATTATTTTGCTCGGACGCGCAGAGCCAATCCGCGTCACCCCTCCCCCTATTGGTGAATTCAAAAAAGGAATTTCAATTTAATCTCTCCCCTCGAACAAAACAGCCGGTCTTAACTGACTTTGCGTTCAATATTGACATTGTATTTTTAAATTGTATAACCGGCCAGCATTTCGTTTAGTGTTCATTCTGAATTTGAATTTTGAAAAGAAATTCCTTGAGATTTATTTTTTATTTTAGAATTAAACTGGCCAGTTGGTTTTGAAATTAGCTTTTTGAAAAGATAAAGTATTGCTGTAGATTTTTTAATATTCTATTCACTGCTACTTTTATTAGGTAGTGGAAAGTGTTATTTTTAACATCGAATAATGTGAGTCATGAACTGGTACTATGTCATGCACAATCAACAGTTTAAGCGAACGTATCTGGCTGGGCTTCACATCTGGTTACTTGCTACATTATAATAGTTATTAAGTAATGATTTTGATAATTAAATAAACTAATTAAATAAACGCATAGTCTTTACATGATAACTTTTTTAGCAATGGGGTTCGAAAGTAATTTGTTAGCATCTAATTGTAATTTGTTGCCCTTACAAAGGTTAAAATTTATTCAATAAATGGCAAATGCTTTAGAAAGGAATCCAAAGAAATATTAAACTCAAATATTGATTCATTTAGATAGTCTTCAAAATATTTTCGAGTGATAGTTTAATACCATTCACTACTATTATTTCTTTATATAAAATTACACGTGGGATTTTACTTGTTATTTTAAGTAATTGAAGATGAACTTTTACAAAAAAGGACCAAAAATACAAAACTACTTAATTTTCATTCTATCTTGTCCATTTTACAAGGGCTCTACATTTTTATGTGAATGACCTTAAATCTTCATTGTAACAAACAAATCTATATGTTAATTATTCATTTAACAGTTTTTCGAAAGAAAAAAAAGGGCGATTCCGAATCGAGAACCCATAGTAGTTTGTAACCACGCAGCCAGCCTGCATTCGTTCAATCAAAATGCGCAACTCCATCGGCTGGCGCAGGCGCAAAGGTGCCTTTGCGGCCATCTTTGATTCTTCCCTTTTTAAACGGACCTTAAACTAAAATATCGCCATTCATGGAAGCCAGGTATAAATTTCGAAACGGTTTTTATGAGAATAACGCAATCGCTACTCAACAACAGATTATAGGAGTTAACTGAGTTTCTGAGAAGCGTTTTTTGCAGCAAATAGGATTATGATTTTGCTCTATAGGATTATGGTCATAATATGGGATTATTTTACTAAAAGGCAGTCGGTTGTGCACAAACACAAAACGCTTTCACTAATGCGTTAGGCCTATACATAAAATTTTACATAAAATGCAGTAGTGTTGGAAAAAAGGGTTTATGCATAAATGTGACAATAAGTGTAGGCCTAAATAATTGCAATATGGGATTTTGAAGTTTTAAGGTTTTGTTACATTTTAAAGTGGTTCAATGTAGGGAGGTAAATGAATGTTAAAAACTATTTACATTACATATCTGTAAATACAATTTTCTTATAAAACACAATAATTTCTATTGCTCTAGCGGAGTATAAAATGTTAGAGACGAGTATTGTATTTGTAGAGACTTACCTAATTCAAG